ATTCATGTTATATGTACAGTTTACAAATGTTTAATAAAGCACACATAACTAGCCTAACAGAGGGTTAAAAAAAAAAAAAGTGAGCAACTCAAATTAAAAATTAATTTAATCATATCATTGATAAATAAATATCAATCATTTGATATTTTTTCTATCTTTTAGGATATAAGTAAGAGAGCTTGCTATCAACTTAAATAGATTAATTAACATAAGGATTCAATACCCTGCATTAATCTCTAATGCTAAAAAAAAAAAAAAAAAAAAAGATATTTTAATCTTATTTATAATTTCAAAAAATCTAAAAATTATGTTGTAATGCATCTTAAAGTTGTTACACCAGGACGTCGTATTGCCCCTTTGTGAAGTATGTTTACGTAAATGACGTAAAAAGGCTCTCATCAAAACATAAATATTTCGCTTATTCGGCATCGATCGGGAACAATATCTCTGATTCCAACCAATTCACAGCAAAATATACATACACACCATAAAGGGAACAATTTCGACCTGTTTCAACACAAGATTTTGGCCTAAAATGTTAAATGATTCTGGAAAATTTACAGTTACAAAATGAGACGGGAGCGAAAAGTTTTGTTCACTTCGTGCACGGGAGTAACACTCACCCTTATTGGGACAACTGATGGCTGAAATCTGACCAATACATTTAGCGTGTGCGATAACTTTATTTTTATTTAATTTGCCTGAAACCTTTTCATCAGCAATTAAAAAAATTTTTCAACTTGAAAATGTCGTTAAAAACAATGAACGGTCTTCAGTCCGAGGGACCTAACAAAAAATATTCAAAGGCTCTCAGAAGACAGACTACACTTAAAAAGTTTGCTCAACAATTAGTAGAACATCAAATCGGTGAGATAATGGTTAAAGGAGTTCTCATACTAAACTTCTTTTTTTTTTATTAAGTTTTCTTTTCCCTTCCTTAATAACCGACAGAATTCCCCTTGATTATTCTGGCAATTCTTGCTTTTGCACATGCATTTAAAGTTCCCGGTTCCGAAAAATTCTTTTTTTTACCTCATAAAAACCCGGTTACGGGCCTATACACTAAAAGCATAGATGACGCATGTTTTGTTTTATTCTGGGTCATTATGTTCACATTGTTACGCGCAATCATAATGGAATATTTACTGACACCTATAGCCAAAATTGGAGGAATTAAGAATAAAAATAAAAGGACGAGGTTTGCGGAGCAGGGATGGTCTTTTTTATATTATTCTGTTTTCTGGACAACGGGCATGGTGAGTTTAGAATTCATTTTGATTGTCTGGTCGATGAACCGATCATCGCGTCGAGTATAGCGATAGTCAATTTCGGGAATATCTTGAAAAAATTTGGATCTATTTATATAATGTTACATTTCAGTTTGTAGTAACTCATTCTTTTTTCTCTTGCACTTTTCCTCTGGTACAATTAGTATGTAATGTATCACTCACCGCACTGGCTTGACACCTCCCATTTTTGGAAAGGCTATCCACACAACGAAATGTCATCGCTCATGAAAGGATACTACTTGATCCAACTTGCCTTCTGGCTCCAACAAGTTTTTGTTCTTAACATTGAAAAGAGACGAAAGGATTTTGTGGAAATGTTCGCGCATCACGTGATAACAATTTCGCTTATGTTTTTTTCTTATATTTTTAATTTTATTCGAATTGGCAATGCCGTCTTGTGCATTATGGACTTTGCTGATATATTATTGCCGGTGAGTCTTTCTGTGCGAATGTTTCGCGATCACAATACAAGATTAATCTTCATTTATCCCTTTTTCGGTAGTTCGCTAAGATGCTCAAATATCTTAAGTTCAGTCGAAGTTGTGATGCCGTATTTGGTCTCTTTATGGCATCATGGTTGGTCACCCGTCATTATCTCTATGGTTATATAATCTATAGTGCATGGACTGAACCGCAAAAATATCTTGAATACAAATGGTCACCCGAGGAAGAACATTATCTGACAAAAAATGTGCAAACATTTTTCTTGATCCTTTTTTCTGGCCTTCAGGCAATCATCATATTTTGGTTTTATCTGATCTGTAATGTCGCGCTGAGAGTCATCAGAGGATCCAATGCACATGACAATCGTAGCGATTCGGAAAGGTAGATGTTAAGATTACTCGACTGATCATTGATCATAGATTAAACCATCTTCTTTTGTTGTCTAATTTTTTTTTTTTCCTTTTAAAAATAGTGAAAACGAGGACAACATTAATCATAAGCATGCTAATGGAAATGCTAATATAAAGACATCATAACTAATTGTAAATTAATAATAAGATGGCGGTCAATAGGCCGCTTGTAATATAACGAACGGAACTTTCCAGGCCGAATCATTTGGGTAGCATTATTTATTATAAAAATCCGATGATTTGCTTTATGTGCTTCGGATTAATATTTAACAGTATAGACTGGGATTGTGATCAGTTAAACTAATTGTTGCTTGTAATTAATTGTTATTATTCGACTAAATATGTAATGTAATTAACCATAATAATATTTTTTACAATGGCCATGCAATTCTGTATTGTATACTTTTCAATAAATTCTAATATCGGCGATGACGATCTGTATTAATTATTGTGATCGTCATTAATAAAAATTTCGACGAACATTGTTTATCACTTTACTGTATATAGACTAGTTTCTTGCACATTGATTTGGGTAATTCTTTTTGACTCCAGAATCACTACCCTGAAAATTTCAATTGATACGTATATACAATATAAATTCCTAAAATAGATATAGCCCCTAAAATTTATATCGTATATACGTATGCACCTTTAATTACAAGTATGCATACGTATATCACGGGATGATCGTCACGTAACGAAATTTGCGCGAAATTCGCGAAACTGTGAAAATAATATACTGTATATACTGTATAAATAATAAATATTTTTTAATATAATTCTTGTAATTTTATTTTAAAATTAATTAATTTTTCAATAAATAAAAATAATCTATGTTAGATGATTTTTTTTAAAAAAAAATTGAAAATATTTATAGTTTAATTTAAATTAGAACTCTCATGGGAGGGAATAGCCAACCCCAAAGCCATATATACTGTAGCTATCCCTATATGTTGAGTCCTATTTTATATTATTAGCAAATTATATTTCCATTGAAATAGGAAAATTGAGTGTCTTTTCTATTCTAGTAAGTAACCTTTCTCTATTTTTACTATCCATTATTGTTGGAGTGGTATTTGTTGATTGTTTGAATGGTGCATATTTTGTTTTTCTTGTGTCTTTTACTATTTTTATCTTAAAGGGAATTTCTATATACTCTTCATAATTAAATGTACTAAGGGTTGAAGCATATAATTTACCATTAAATTTTGTAAATAATAAATATGAAAAAAAGTTATCTATAGTCAATTTGTGAATATTATTTCGAGATTAGGTTCATAAATAAGTGTCAAATAAAATATTATTAAAAGAGAATTGAATTTTTCTTTTAAAAAAAATCAATTAATTCTTCAAGAGTATGAATATTTTGAATAGATTCACCTTCAAAAAACCATCTTGACAATACACCAAAGTATTCATCAACAATGTTTTTTCCATGGTATTCAGAAAAAAATTAAAAAAAAAATCTTTTGTTATAAAGAATTGATAAAGAATTGAAAATAAAATATATTACTTCAGCTAATCTAAAATGAGAATCAAAATCTGACCAAAAGTAAAATTATTGAAATTGTAATATAAAGGATTTAGAAAAAAGTTAATTGATACAATCAATTATAAATAAGGAATTATTACATAAAATTTTTTAAAAAAAATCAAAATATTGTATTTGAATTATACCATTATTATCTTTATAAAAAATAATAAATCCTAAAAATGAAATTTGTATTTTTTTATAAAAATTTCTTTTAGTTTCAAAAGAGCCACTACCAATTTTAAAATTTTCCTTAAAATCCATAACTATTACATAAGAAGTTGTTATTATAAAATTAATAAAGTTGATATTGGTTTGTTTTAAAGTAAAAATATTGATGATAAAGATTAATTTGATTTTGTAATTGAGTAATATCAAGGGGATTAATTTATGATAAATTTTTTTTTTGTTTTTTTTTTTCTTTCAATACATATTGGACACATATTTGTTTTTTTTTTGTGTTTTTTGAAGTTTTTAGACAATATTTGTAAAATGTATCAAGGCTCAATTTTAAAGTTAGATTTTGAGTTTTTGATTTAGAATAAATGTGTTTTTTTGTTTTTTCTAAATAATAAATAGAAGTAAGATTAAAAGAGACAAAAATATTTTCAAAAGAATAAGAAAGTTTTAAAGATTGACATATAATAGTAAACAAATAAGAATTTTGTATAAGAGAATTAAAAATAAGTTCAATAGTTTATTTATTAATAGAAATTTAAAAGAAGAAATTTATCTTTGATAATTTGATAAAAAAAGGATTGATTATTAACTTTTTTTAAAATGGTATTAAATAGTGCATTACTAAAGTAAAAGTCAAGATTTGTTAATTCAAATCTACTATATAAACTAGCTACTAAAGATAAAAGAC